TAATATGTATATATATATTTTTTAAGATGTATTGCTGGTAATTTTTTTGGAAAAAGTATTGCTGCTATTTTTACTATAGTTTGGAGGTTAGCTATTTGCCAATAGATAGGACCCCAACAGTTGTTACCAACATGACTACTGTTTGATATATATATATATATATATATATATATATATATATATATATATATAATATATATTTTTTTATATATTAAAAATAATATTGATGAAAAAATGTATAACAAAGTGGAAAAATTTTCTTGTGACGCCGCGTTTCATCCTTTACGACTTCATCGGACTAAATTTGTTATGTTGGTGCGAATACACATGCGCACGAAAGAGGGATGCTGGGAATTTTAAATTTTAAATACATATCACTGTTTATCCAAAGCGAGCGTACTATAATGCAAATGAAAGAACTGGTGACACATAAGCTGAATCCAACTTATGTCGCCTATATCTGTTGAGAAACCGGGTTTTCCCAGTTCAGTCATTTAATTCTGGAAATGTACGCATACTTTTCACACTGCAATGAACTAACGCTATTTCATCAGAAAAAAGAAGAATATAATTACGCGCATGCGCGAACGCACAGCCAGACACATTTAACTCCAAGTATCTTCTAATTTCCGCAATAGCGCACACACCCACGCATGCAAGCGACTTATGCCGGTGTAATGGTTAACAAGATGCATTCGCAGATAACTGTGACTGAATAGTGAATTAGATACTCACTGGATGTCATATATGCTTGTTACATATTAGGGCGACTCTGTGTGGGTTAATATTTAGAAAAACTAAGAGTAGAGAAGAAAATACTAAAAATAAGCAAAAACAAAATTTATTAAGAGCTACTAAGATCAGAAAATTGTGGAGAGCCATAATAGCCTACGTTCTGAACGGATACGGCACATAGCATTAGATGAATGAACTGCGTAAATAGATAGATGGCGGAACATGGTTTAGGAGAAATTACAAAAAGACAAAATTTATTAAGAGCTATAAAGAATGGGAAATTGTGGAGAGCCATAATCGCCTACGTCCTGAAAGGATACGGCACATAGAATTAGAAGAATGAGCTTGAGAAAATGGATGACGGAACAAGGTTTAGGAGAAACATGAAAAAGACAAAATGTATTAAGAGCTACAAAGGACAGGAAATTGCTGAGAGCGATAATCACTTACGTCCTGAACGGATACGGCGCATAGAAGAAGAAGAATGAGCTTGAGTAAATGGATTGTGGAACAGGGTTTAGGACAAATAACAAAAAGACAAAAAATTTTAATAGCTACTAAGAACAGGAATTTGTGGAGAGTCATGATAGCCTACGTTCTGAAGGTGTACGGCACATAGAAGAAGAAAGTAATTCAAAATGTTTACTGCGAATAAATATGAAAATTACAATGTTTCTAAAGGCCTTCATTTGCGTTGTGCGTTGTTGTATATCTCCATGGCCCAGAATGTAAATTACAAATCGGGGATACTAAATTCAAACAAATAGAAAAATGTAACTATCTGGGAAATGTTCTAACAGATGACGGAAAGTACGGCACTGAGATCCGAAGACGTGTTGAGATGGTAAAAAGATGCATTCCAAAAGCTAAGCAGAGTATTAAGAGACAGGAAAGTTTCGTTAAAACAAAGAAAATAGGAAGGTCGTGAAAACTAGAATCAATTAGACGTGGAAATTTAAATACCTGGGAAACGTTTTGACAGAGGACGGTAAATGCGACACAGATCTGTAGGCATATTGGGATGACCAAGGACACATTCCAAAAATTGGTCAAATTACTGCGAGACAGGAGGATAACTTTGGTAACAAAGAAAAGAATACTAAACTGTTACATGACATCTGTCCTTCTTTACGGCAGTGAATGTTGGACGATTTCCTCAAAGATGAAGAAGAGACTCAAGGCGACAGATATGTGGTTCTACTGAGGGATGCTAAAGATATCATGAACCGAGCGTGTGAGCAACGAAGAGGTCTTAGAGGTCCAACGAAGAGGATGCAAACACGGAGGAGGTTTATACTTAACATTAGGAAGAGGCAGCTAAAGTTTTTGGGATACATAATGAGGAAGGGGTGCCTGGACAATCTGATACTCACGGGTCGAATAGAGGGAAAGAGAGACAAGGGAAAACAACGCGTGACATACCTGGCGGACTTAAGCAAGTGGATGACAGAACGTGGTCTGGGGGAAGAAGCAGAGGGAAAGAACTTGTTGAGAACTTCAAGGGATAGAAAGAGATGGAGAGCCATGATCGCCTACGTCCTAAAAAAAGAAGGTTATTTAAATCCGAAACATATTTTGGGGTTGTAAGATTATATTTTTTGTTGCAAGTGAATATTGTATTTTTTTTTTTCAGTTAAGGTCATACTATGTAACGCTTAGCTGGGGAGAAACGGTGGAATTATACCTTTCACAAAGCTATTTGCACGTAGGTGAATGTACCGAACACGCCAGAATTTCGAACTCGGCTCTCAGATTTCTCATTCCGAGCTGTTATCAATTGCACCACACGCATATCCAGTCGACCCAGTACTTTCTGAGCGACTGTTCGGTTCACCTCTCTGTCTACGGACGGAGAGGTACCCGAAGGAGGCTAAAACCCACAATAAACAACCGACCTTGTGTCACATGTTGCCCCAGTGTGGGGGGGGGGGAGACTGAATATTGTCAGTTAAGAAAAACAAGTCACTGCGGCCCAGACATGCTTCTCTTATTTTCAACTACATTTTTCTGTTAAAACTCTAAAAAAATAAGTAACGTTTGTTTCAAATTAGATTAAGTAAACTTTAAATTTTCTAATCTTACTCAAATAACTTTTGAAAAACGGTGAATTTTCAAAAATAGCGGACATCATCGATTTTAATGGCATTCTGCTGACACACACACGCACACACACAAACAAACAAACAAACAAACAAAAAACAAGATTTTTAACCAAAATTTCTAATTTTCTAAAAAGGATGAAATAATTTAATAAAATAATAAAAAACACACTTTGGTCTTTCCGCTTAATAATGGTATAAACATTTAAAGGAAAAAAAATGTTTTCATCAAATTTGAGGCCATATTTGCACGTATACATAAAAAGTGTGTAAATAAAAAAGAAAATACAGATAACACTTTAAGAAGTCAGGGATCGATTACGTATTTATATTATGAACGGAAACACTATTCCGAAATTATTTAAAATCAGTATTTTTCGATTCTGATTCAAATGTCGTGGTTAGAGGAATCTATGCTAATCTACTAAAATTATTCTCGCCCTCAATTTTCCCTGATTTTACAAGCGAAATACTTAATTTAAGTAGTGCCCTCAGTTATACCTATACCCCTAAAAAAGTGACTTCTGAAGACTCGGCATTGTTTGTTTTGTTAGTTTAACAGCATATCAACACCTTATGGGTCACTTAATACCGAAATTTAATTTTCTTGGGAACATTAGTAATTTCTTTTACGAAAATGTATTGCTGGCAATTTTTCTTTTAATAAAAAATTATTGCTTGTATAATTTTTTTCCTTACAAAAATGTATTGCTGGTAATTGCTTTACTATGAAAATGCATTACTGGCATGTCTACTAAAAAAATATATTTTTATACTTTCATAGAATTTTGACCCCAGTTTGGAGGTTAACTATTTGGCCATAGGTGGGACCCTAACAGGTGCTACCATCCAGGGTCAGGATGGACCTGGCAACAACAGCAATTAAGAGGTGGTTCCGCGCTCCACGGTCAGAGGCCTTGCTACCAGATGTATTTTATCGTCATACACAGGAATAGAAATTCAGAGGTGGTTCCACGCTGCTCAAAACATCCAATCTCCCGATCAGAGTCCTTGCTGCTGGATGTAGTTTATCGTCTTACCTAGGACAGTCGGCATTGTTTGATGTGGCTAACTAAATAATACGCTAACCAAACACGTGTTAGATTTCAGCTAGTATTTCGAATGCGGAAGTTCAAAGCAGATAACACTTTTCTTTTGGTTAAATTGGTGCAGTATGATCTTCTTCCTCAAGATTTTCTTTTTTGACCTTATAGGTAAATATTCAACTGTACAAATTCTTTCCTCGAGGTGTGTGTCAGAATTTTTTAAGTAAAGACATATTCTAAAAAAAACCGTTTAATTACAGGTGTCTTGAATTTATGCCGGTGTGTGAGTACTGAGGTAAAACAAAATGTATGTTCTGTTTTAAAACCTGAAAGTGTGTCTGATTATACAAAAGTGAGAGAGTAATTTCTTCAAGTCCTTTTCAAGAAATGAATAACAGAGCATAATTTGATTTATTTGAAATTTGATTGTTATATAAATGTTATTTCGGCCGAATAAGCTCTAACCATTTCCAGGTTTTCATTTTGCTGGATAAGGGATATATTATATATATATATATATATATATATATATATATATATATATATATATATATATATATATATATATATATATATATATATATATATATATATATATATGACGCTTGCGTTGTATCGAACGAAACAGTTCGGGTTCGAATCTCGGTAGTGGAGGCGCATTGCTGATGAGTCCCAAAAATAGGACGAAATGGTCGTCCAGTGCTTTCTGCATTCTGTTGAGGATTCTTCTAGACTCGATGAATTACTCTAATGATTTGCCTAAATCTCCCAAATTCTATTACTTATCTATCTATCTATCTATCTATCTATCTATCTATCTATATATATATATATATATGCACACACACACACACACACACTTGTTAGTCATGTACCGAAAGAGACATAATTGTCACCTATGGCACTTAACTAATGAAGAAATTCATTTCTATTCAGAAAAAATTTCAGCTTTCACTGATCGAACAGTCGAATAATATTTATAAAACCATTTTTAAAAAACATGTTTACAAGAAGACCATTAATTGTTATAATTCTTTCTAGTACTGGCGAGAGTTTCCTTTCAAACTCTTGGAAAGAGGCTGCACCGTAGACGACGCCATGATGTGCGACACTCCTACTGATGGGAGACGTCTTGTCTGCTGTCTTCTATTTGCACCAAGCACACCAGCTGCGTCATTTTAAACGTCATCATCGTACTGTACAGACGGGTGAGGGTTCACACAGGTTAGCGAAGGTAATCAGCTGGATCGGCAATAGCTGTCAGTTGTGAGCCCGCCACCTTTCCACCCAACACATTTCGCCAGTTCAGCAGCTTGCAGTCTGTCTTACTTTTCATTTCTTTTCCTCTAGCCTTACTTTCTTCCTCTGACAATCACGGCGAAGCGCGGCCTATCTGCCTTATTCTTTCTCTTTCTCAAGAAGTCTCGACCCACACCATGTTGCATGCTTTAACGTGAGAAATTCAAAGAATAGTTTTAATTCAGTATCGTTCGTTCTTTCTTTTTATCTATCTTTGTTATACGTCATCAGGGGTGATACAATTTTGCGTCTACACTAGGGGAAGTGTGTCTTGGTCTTCCTGCGAGGAAACTGGGTTGGATATTTACGTCAGAACTGACGGAGCCGCATCTTTACCCCTGAGTATTCGAACATTTGTGTCGATTCACCCGACTTTCCGTAGAAATGAACAATGCTCTCCCTAACCCCAGGCAGCCAACGACAACTGTTTTGAACTCTACATTACTAATGAAGTCAAAGGCAATAAATCGCTGAAACGGGGCACTTGACATATCGACTTTTTTTTAACTCTTTATTTTTAAAAATTTTTATCTTATTTTTTTCAATCTTTATTTTATTTGTTAACCGTTTCTTATTTTTCATGACATTCAGGAACTTTCCCAAAGATAAAATACTTCTAATGACTTGGTTTTGCTTTAAAAGGTCTTTTGAGCTAATTCAAAAATGAATCTGCTTTATCTTACCCAAATCCATTGCTTTTGGTCCTTCACGTTCTGACTTTGGGTCGGGGTGAACAGAGAAAACATTTCTTCTGGGTTTAGATTTTGGTCTGACCACTAAGTTACGCCTTTCCCGACTTTTATAAGTCATGTTAGAGAAGAGTAGTTGCTATTGATGAAAATGGCGTATAACTTACCTGGCGAGGTTATATAAATGATTGGCAGGACAGGAGAGACATCAAAAAGACAAATCTTACTACGAGTTATGAAGGATTGGAAATTGTGGAGAGCCATGATCGCCCACATCCTAAAGGGGTACAACACATAGAAAAACAAGAAATGACAGACTGGGTAATATGGCCAGGCTATCAATTAAAATTTCACATGCTGATAGAACTGGCTTTGAATGGGTCTTTGCTGAATTTGACAGCTCTTATGACAAACGTAGGATTAAACTGCTAATCTTCGTTTAAATTCATTTTAATTCGTTTAAATTTGTAAAGTCGAGGTATCAAAGAGGATAGCTGATCAGAATAATTACGATGAAAATATTTATAGAAAATAGCGGAAGAGCTACGTTAATTTTTATATTTTAATAATTTTAGATTTATGAAAAAAATCTGTTTAGAAACTAAGCAATAATAATTTATTCACGTAAAATGTGTATGTGCCGTTCAATTGCTAATATTAACTGTAACAGCTGTAACAGTTCCATTATAGACATGTTGCGGCTGCTGAATGTATGAATGTGCATTTTGTGTTCTCTATGTTTTATGTAGAACATGGATGAAGTTCCTGTAACATTCGGTATATCACCCAGTCATATGATTCTTAATAATAAATTTATAATAAATGCACAAAAAGAAACTTTTTTGAACTAGGCCAAACAGAGGACATGGACGAAATTCCACTTGCATATTATATACTATCAAGCGGTTCTACTTAATATTCCCTGCTAAAATGAGGGAGTGTCCCAGTGTCTGATAGGTGCAATAGATGCGTGAATTATATATGCCATCAAATATGCTACTTGTATTCGGTAACATAATTCGTTATCGCTGTATCAGATAAAACGAATGAATCCATAAGAAGTCACAAAAAAAAGAAAAAGAAAAAATGTGGCGCCATCTGATCCACAGCAAAAAAAACAAAAAAAAAACAACCAAAAAAAAAAAAACGCCATAGATGACAAGAGTGAGAAGAAGACGACGACGACGACGACGACGACGACGACAACAATCTATAATACTAAAAGTCTGTGATTGCGTGCGGGCTTGTGTGGTGCGTCTGCCCGGCGCATAAAGATTTACGCGTTGTTCATACAGTTCGTTTTTTTTGTTTTTTTAAACTTTCTTCAAATAGTTTTTTTTAATTAAAATATTTTAAAGTTAAAGACAGTCACAAAGATATCCCGCTTTGCTTCAGTTGTTTGTGCAGTAATTATTTATATTTCATCTTTCTTTAAACAAACAATATTTTAAATATTTAAAAAATATTTTTTGGTGTATTTAAAAAATATTTTTTGGTATAGTTAAAAAATATTTTCAAGTGAGTATAATTTCAAAATATTTTTTGGCATATTAAACAAATATTTTTAAGTTAATTTGATTTAAAGTTCAAGTTTATCCCGGAAGTTCTATTCCTATGAAATGCTGTAAACAATCAGTAAAACGTTAAAAACGAACTTGTAAACGAGACCAATTATGACACGAACAAAATGAAATATTTAAATGAATCATAATAAAATTTACTTTCATTTCAATGGAATGTTGAAAATCAACATCAATGTTTTATAACCTGACGGACCACGGGTGATCTAGTAATATTATAAAACCAAATCACCTCGTCAATGAAAAAGGAGATGCGCGGTCTGACCTACTAATCACAATATGACCAAACACTGGATATTTTTTTTTACTGGTTTAATGGAGGGGGTAGTTATCCTAGGACGGTGACGCATCCTGCGATAAGATCCAATCTGGCGAAAGCGTTCATTGTAATGATGTGTCATATACCTGGTGAAGTTCATTGTAAATTGATACCAAATCTCCTAAGTAATTCAGAACTCTTTCCAGTCTTCTTTTTATGTGTAATATCCCTTTAGGACGTGTGAAACCATGGCTCTCCACAGTTTCATATCTTTTTTGGCTCCCCTATGTCTGTTCTGCTATCCATGTACATCACGCCATTAGTCAGGTTACTGGGTGTTTCCCTTTCTCCGTCTTGCCTTCAAAATATATCATGTCAAATTCTGCAAACCCTCTTTCATTATTATAGATCTCATATATTTCAATTATCTCTTTCTGATTCTAAGTGCAAGCGTTGATTTTATTTCTATCATCCTTAAGACTTACTCGTTGCTTACTCCCTCCATCTTAAGTATTCTCAGTATCCTTCAGTATAACTACATTTCTCTTGTCTCCATTTTTATTTGCGTCTTTGAGGAAATTGTCCACCAGCATACACGGCCATATATATATATATATATATATATATATATATATATATATATATATATATATATATATATATACACCTGAAAAAAATAAAATTCGGTGGAGCACTTTAGAGGGTAAGCGCGAATTTGTAAATAGCGACTGCTACTGCTGATAATGCAAAGCTCTTCTATAAATCGAGCACTGTGAGTCACTGGCGTGTTTATTCAAAAATAATTACGTAAAAATTCACTTTCCTCTCTGCCGGGAGCTGATAGCTTAGGGGAAAAATCTCCGATTGATGCCAAATCGGATTCCTAGCCATACTGATGAGCTGTGATACAGCGAAACATTCTGTCTGTTGATGGCATATATATATATATATATATATATATATATATATATATATATATATATATATATATATATATATATATATATATATATATATATATATATATATATTTTTGTTCATAATAATTCATCGAGTCTAGAACAAGAATCTTCAACAGAATGTAAAAAGAACTGGGAGGCCTTTTTCTGGAGGGTAGGAGACTCATCAGCATTAATCAGCCACTACCGAGAATCGAACCCGAACCGTTACGATACAACACAAACGTCATACCACCGGGACCAACCATTCGACCAATTACTCATTCAAACATACACTCATCCAAACACAAAAACAAATACGAAAAAAGATCCTGCATCTACCAAAGAGCTGACATTTCTGTCACCTACCAGGGGAGGGGAGGAGGGAAAAATAAACTAAAGAAAGCGGTGACATAAATACAAGAGTCCGATGAGCATACACCCTGTAGCTAAGTTTACTTGATGGAAGAAACTAAGGATAAAACAAACATAAACTACCCTATTTTGGGTGGGGTAGCCTATGTCCAACAGAGTCCCCAATATCCTGATACCCAACTGGCATCAAAATACCACACTCGAAACAGATGGGGTACCACATTGTTACAAACAGAATTGAACTCGAAGACAAAGAACTTTCCACGCAGCATGCGAACCATGATATCTTCAATAAAATTGCACAACGGGGTTACGACCTTACAGTGGAATAAGGTGTGAAAATACTTTGGAGATTTTTTCAAGGCCGCAGGACAAAGTCTTTTGTCAACTCAGAGGACCTTTCGTATCAGCAAAAAAGTGAGTGTTGCATCATTAGTGCGGCATTTCTACCCGGGCGCCCAGGGCCAAATGGAGCGAGCTACTTGCTTCGTAAGACAGAAATCGCCTATCAGATAATCTTGAACGGACTCCTTAACTAACATGTGATAAAATGCCTTACGAGACAAACCCTGGACGTCGGAGAGGCCATCCGTCGCGCGTAAGAGGTGCTTGAGAGCGATCCGACATTAACGATAGAAGGAGCACTCCTCCTCGCAAGAGTACAAATTTCTCAGACATGGGAAGTTCTTACGGACGTCTTTCTTCCAGAATTCGCACTCACCATCCACTTGCAAACACATTCGATCTAGGAACGCGATACGAAGCGTATAGTGACGAATATCAACGCTAGGCATAATCAGACATCCTTCAGAAGGTTGGAGGTAACAGATCTCCCGAACTACCTTGGGAGCCTTGCATCCCCACAAGAAGGAGAAACAGACTCTAACTAATACCATTCGTGTGGTATACGCGAATGGAAGCACGGAAAGTTAGTAAAGAAGAATCGGGTAGATATGTGAGGCACATACTTCCGCCCTTCCCTTTAAGAAAAGATTCCTCCGAGACCAAGACGAACCTCTGACCAATTCGTTTACAATAGGAGATCGGGATCGAACCAGACGTCGACTATCTTGACCGGCCCATCTATCCAGAGGAAATTCTCGGGAAGAGAAACTCCGTTCCATGCGCCTAAGTGTCAAGCCAACAGACTTATCACGGTTGATCTTGGCCCCTGCCACTGTCTCGTATCCTCTGATCTCTTTGTTGAATTCGTCAATCTCGGCCCTGCTCGACACAAGAACCGAAACGTATCTGGCACCAGGTAAAGACATTCCGTGTAGG